TAGTTTTCTATGAACCCCTAATTTAAGGTCCAAAATAACCATTTTCCTCAGGGTATCTAAATAATCCTGAAGCTACCGCCCGAATGGTAGATAAAGACGGATGGGCGCACACGGGTGATATTGGACATTTTGACGAAGATGGGCATTTCTTTATAGTGGACAGGTTGAAAGAACTCATCAAGTACAACGCATTACAGGCAAGGTTTCATTTCATGCTCCAACTTGCAAAATTTCCGCTATCTTCAGAGTTGGGACAACGATTAAGGTCTCAACTCCAAAAACGGAAATGACATAGGTCTACAGAAACGAACGTAAAGTGCGAGGAACTAATGGGAGGAAGGTGGAAAGAGACACTTTTTACTGTCCCTTCACCCTTTGCACGCCACTTTTTTTAGAAGAGGAACGCCTGGGTATGAGTTAGGGTGTAAATAATTTTGTTTGTAGGGAACTGTTTCTGTTTTCCTTCCATAATCCCTCGCGCTTTACGTTGGTTGCTAGATTCTTTCTGCCAGCTGAAAAAAAAAGAGAGCAAAAAAGTAAAGCTTGAATGCGTTCTCTCATTAGAGTGCACCACGAATGTTGAATTAGCTGTGTACCTATCTTTTCTATCTTCACTTGCATGTAAATGTATTTTATTTCAGTCATTGACACTAACTTTTTTTTAGGTCGCCCCGGCTAAACTGGAAGCTTTGTTGATTTCACATCAAAACTCGACGACGCAGCCGTAATTGGTGTCCCGGATGAGGAGTCAGAAGAGCTGCCGAAGGCCTTCGTTTTTCCTAAGGGAGAAATCACTCTTGAAGAAATCGCAGATTATATCGCACAAAGGGTGGCTCCCCATAAGAAACTAAGAGGCGGAGTGGAATTTATCGACAAGATTTCCAAGTCTGCAAGTGGCAAAATTTTTTACGAAAGGAGTTAAGAAAGAGAGAATCGGAACGAACGGATAAATCGTGACATGCGGCATTTCTTAAACAGTTCCCTCCACATTTGCATATGCGGTAGTTAATCCCACTTTTTGAGTTTTGTACTTCCAATACAACGATTGCGGTTAACGCTTGTAATGGTTTTATGAACAATTACATTCTACCTCCCAACGCTTTTTTATAGGATTTTTATAATGATAATCACACCCTTTACAGAACTAGACGCTTCAAAGCGTTAACTCGAGCTTCCTCGGCGATCTCTTTTGTAATAAATAGGCGATTTTACCTGCGAGGTTGTAATAACTGGTGTGCGTAACTAGCGGTTCGGTTGGAGAGCCCCTGAGCTTAGTTGGGAAGCCGCAAGGGGAATAAAGAACAAAAACCTTGACTGTTGTCATCAGTTAAGACTTTGAAGCCGTTTTTTTTTTTTGTTTTTTCAGCTCAGTATTCACCTGCACGTTTGCTAGGTCTACAAAGGTGTATTTCTTTTCTCTCCATCTTTGATGGAGAGAAAAGAAGGAAAAAATTAACAAGACTAACTAACGGCGACAGACGTCATTTTCAATTATCTTGATTACTCCATGTAATCAGGAAAAAGAATTTTCGGCCTTCGATATTTTTAAATACCAAAGGCCCCTTGTCCTCTGCCTAAAAGCAGACTGAAGACAATAGCTCGGTATTGGGTACAGAGGCAAAGCCAGAAGGGGGGCTCGCGATGCTTCTCCCCAGTTTCCCGCTTCTCCGATAGGAACGCTTGCGACCATGATGTAGATTTGGCGACCAAAAAAGAATTAGGACGGTTTGCATTTCTAAACTCGGGCGTTCCTACGGAACTCGATCAAAAATGTGAGCATTTTTTTAATTATCTTTTTTCTCAAGTTAAAGTAAAATAGTGCGACATTTTGGGTTTTTTGAAAGTGAATAATTTAAAGAATATCAAGCCCTCGCAGTGGTGGAGCGCAGTGAAACGAATCGCCGGTATGAATCCTGCGTCATCTTCTGAAAGTCTCCTTTCCAACCTTCAGCTCGGGGACGGTTTCGATCGCCTAAGTGACGTTGAACTAGCTGACGCCATCAACGCTGTGTTCTTAGAACCCATGAAGCATTACCAACCCCTATACGCTGTCCCTACTGTAGTGGAGGACTCCGATATGCCTTTAATTACGGAAATTGATGTCCTACACGCTCTAACCAATCTAAACCCGAGGAAGGCAG